CTCCTCAAACTCGGTCGTGAAACAAAATGGCGGTGTTTTGGAGCTATTTTCGAGATTTCGTCGTGGCACAGAAAATCGAGGATTTAACGGAATTCAAAATTTTTTTCGCAGAACTATTTCAAATAATAAGTAGATTCGTTCTAGCGAAAAACAATTTTTGGGGTTAGGTGCACTTTAATAATTTGTTATTTAACAATTACTGGTTTATTTCTCATTACTTGTTTTCAAATTCTGCTGCAGAGTTGGATGGCATTCACGAATCTGAGAGTTGACAATTTTACCATAACCGACAGCCTTGTGTTTATCAATACAAACTCACCGTCTCCTCAAGATAACTACGCCTTCTGTCAAGTAAGGATTATCTACATAATGTTACGGATACTCTACAAGAGTTTGCTTTCATGAAAAGTGGCCAGTTTTAACAATTTATTTGCATTTTTCCCTTTTCAAGTCAAACTTGTGCTGATTGGCAAACAAAACAGTTTTATCTATTATTACAACTGAATCGAGTTACATAGTTCCCAAAAGCCCCAGTCTCCCTTGGGACTTTTCCCCCTTTCGTAGATCAAGTAGTTTTTGGGGAGGTTTCTCTGATAGAATTTAAAGTCGACAGTGATAGAAAGATCATCACTTATCAGACATATATTCACAGTGTGTCTTTTTATCCCTTCAAAGACTCCCTTTCTTGTTTAACAACCGTACTTATTATACTATTTCATTTAACTTTGCAGACAATAAACTTCACAGAGACATTTTATGCTCCTCCTGTTGTGTTAGTGACGCCAAAGCGCAGTGACAACAACAACAATTCTAATCAATCTGGGTCACGTTGTAATGCAGTTACTGCTTGGGTTGAGGTAAGCAGTACGAGATAATTAGGTACAGCAAGCTAGAGTACTGGTGAGGACTTCACACTGTATATATTTTGTCTGGTCTATGGCAAGAGGAGTGCGCGTTTTTTTGTTTGTTTGTTTGTTCGTTTGTTTGTTTTTTGCTTTGTTTTAGCAGACCCTTAATCGACCCGCGGGCATTACGGGTCTTAACTAGAATCAGCCAATCAGAGTGCGTGTTATAACAACCACAGGCACAAGCCATATAATACAATTCTGTAATATCGTTTTTTAACCTGCTTTTCCATTGTTCGAGAGTCTTGGTCTCTTGGTGAAATAAAAAGCACGAGAAAGAAGTAACGCATTTTATTTCATTACTCAGCATACGTCTACAACTGATGCACAGGTGTGTGTGAAAAATTACAACAGTGACGCCAACAATAAAGATGTTATCACTGTCGACTACATGATCACTGGAGGTAGGCAGAGAGCTTCCATCTGTATACAGGAAATAAAACTGCAGAGTATTTTGAACTTTGAAAATGAAACATTTTTAACAAGCGAAGAAAAATGGTGCTCAAACTACGTAATAAAAGGTTGAAATAAACCATTTGAGATACATTGGGATCCATTCCATACATTTTGTTTTTATGTGGGGTTTAGAACTCTTTACAGATTATCCTTTGGCCTTTTAGCCGTAGATTGTGATAAATAAATAAATAAATAAACAAATGAAATGAATAAATAAATACATAAATAAATACACTTGCTATGCAATGGTCTTGATGCGTAAACTGTAAATTATCTTGAAAAGAACCTTTTAATAGACTTCTCTTTAAGTGTAATTTAACCTGAAAACTTGAAACAACCCAGAAACGTCATCTTCTTAGATCCATTTTTTATTGTCTTTATTCATAATTACTTACGTTTTTTATTTCACATTTTTTGGCCAGACTTGGATCCCTGTATCGACGTGACATGTCATTATCACTGTCTGTGTAAAGCGTTTGGACCCCACGATGCTCGCTGTGTTGCTGTGGACAGATGTCCTTCCTATCGAGAACCCGTCTGCTCATCAAATGGCACAACACACGACAATGAGTGTTTGTTTCGACAGGAAATGTGTCTTCTGCAATTGAACTTTTCTGTTCAACACCCTGGTAGTTGTGAAGGTCATAATATAATACTTTGATTTGCTTTAAAATGAATTTTTTGAAGACATCGATGATCAAAACGATAATGACGATGATAGTTGGTATAGTGTGATCGTCCGAGTGGGTGTAGTTCTGAAAAGAACTGTTGTTGGTGACTAACGTTTCCACAACTTGAGCGGAAGTCATCTTCAGAGTCAAGTGAATAGTGCTTGTCAGTCGATGATGCTATAAGTCTGGTCCGTTGAACGTGATTGGTCAGTATAGCCATGATGGTATTGGCTGAAAGACTCGTGTAAAGGTTGTCATCAGTCATTGGTAGGTTTCGATCCGTCTATTGTTAGTCAAATAGGTCGCTTTTTGGTCCGTGCATTGTCAAGTCGGTCTGTTAGAAGTACGTTTGTCGGTTTCGTTTCCGTCATGGATAAGTCGTTTGTAGGGCGCCGGTAGTTGTTGACATCTGTTAAGAGGCGTTTGCTCTAGGTTAGTGTACCAGCTTTCCAAAGTCAGTCGTTG